GCCCGGTCGCTTTTCCGCGGCGCCTCACGTTCGCGCGATTTAATGAATCGTGTGGGGCGATCTGCCCACCGACAGTGAGTTGCTACCGGGAGCGGCGTTGGCGTTCCGGTGTCTTTTTCTGCCGAATGTTTCTGTGTCAGTCCGGTGAGCAGTAACTCCGAGGTGGGAAATAAAATACCTCCTTTGTGGTGCTGTATCTTGCCAGTGGAGTATGTCTCTGTGACATCTTCTTGGTATGGAAGCTATCTGTAAAAATCGAGAGAAACTGCACGTGTCTTAGGAACTTTTCTGTAAATAAGCACATGTAGTAGTTGTAATTCTGTTTTTGAGAATACGATGTCAATATTCTGCCAATTAATGGACTCTTCTGTAGTCAGCTGTTACGAATGACTTGAATAAGCAGTGTAACAAAGTATTTTTTTTTACTGTAGTAGTAAGGACTGAATAATGTTGTTTATAAGGTGTTGTATATTTTGTGTTGTCTAAAACGCAACTTGCTACGCATAATGCATGCATAACTGATTTCCATGTTAGATAAATTCTTCAAATTCAGCAACCAAAGCACCTGTTATTATGTCGTGTCTTTCTCCTGATTTAAAAGTGCTATTAGTCTCATGGGCTCAGCTCTGGCATACAAGAGTAGTCATTCTCACACAGTTTAATTTCTCACTGTTTCATGTGTCTCAGAATGAGCTCTTGTTCTGTAAATTTAAACTATTTCTTAAGGATCTGTAAGTGGAGCTGATTTAAAAGATGCTTACCACATAGATATTCTTAGTAACTTCCCACATTTGTAGCTGAATGTGTAACACAAACCAAAGCAAAAACAGAGGTGAATGAAATTTTTTGTCTTAGCTAGTCTGAGCTAGTGTCCCAGGTTTGATCAGAAGCAAGCCTGGCTCTCTGTGTAATCTTGAGTCACTTTTGCAGAGAAATTAAAGAATCTGTGGATATGTTAGATCTACATTTCGATCCTGCTCTAATGGTGTAGCGTTTTACCTATGTATCAGTAACTGTCGCTCTGTGCATGCGTAACGTTCCAATTAATACTGCCTCAGAAGCCTAAAGGTCTGATGAGGTGCTTGTTGGCACTTTGATTGCTTTTTCATCTGTTGTTGCCCTGGCGTTTGGGATTTGGAGGTTACATGATCATGGTGAAAAGTAATTACAGAAGGTAATAATCTTTGAAATGTCCATTAAAATAGTAGACTCTTCATTTTTATGCAACATTTGGGAACAGTCTACATTCCGCTAGGATTTTTTTTGTCACCAGCTGAGAACAGGGGCTCAGAGGCACATGAGAGGTATAAAACGATCTGCGTATTGATAGACCATTATCTGTAGGGTTACTGCTGAAGCAAACAGATCGTTACTGTGTCTGGTGGGATGTGGCAGGGTTTTATATTACAGTCGGCATTGTTTTGCTTTAAAATCTAAATTTAACCCAGCCTGTAAATTGCATTTTAGGAGCTTCTGACCATGTGCTGTTTCACTAATACTAATCATACCTATTTGTCCTTTTAAGACAAATGAAGAGAATTCTCCTATGAAGAATAAAAGTACTTGATTCTGGGAAAACTCTTAAAGCACTTCTAACTTCAAAGCTGGAGAAAAGTATGAAGGAACAATCCATCTGACTCTCTCAGCATCTCACACAGAACACAGAATGGCTCTTCATACAAAAACTGGCACTGGCATGTTGAAGGATTGGTGTTTGGAGGAACCGCTGTTTGGCTGCAGACGGCACCAGAATGTCAGGAAAAAACTGAGACTGATACGAATTATAGGGCTTCTTGTCAGTGTAGTGGCCATTAGTACTTCTTCTCTTTTGTTTAGTGCCTTTTTCAAGATGGAACCACATAGCATGGTGTTGTCCAGCAGCCTAGATAGCCAAAAGCTGGTGCGTGGGCACCAAAGAACTCTGTTGGATTTCATGGAAGAGGATGAAAATGGCGCTCCAGACCCACACGCTCCTATGAAACACAAAGCTGAGCACGACAATGCAACAGATGATCATGCCAAGGGAGAGTATCCTGAGGACCTTTTCTCTCTTGAGGAGAGAAGAAAGGGAGCGGTGATCCTCCATGTAATTGGGATGATTTACATGTTTATAGCCTTAGCCATAGTCTGCGATGAGTTCTTTGTTCCTTCCTTGACTGTCATCACTGAAAAGCTGGCCATATCTGATGATGTGGCAGGTGCAACCTTCATGGCTGCTGGTGGGTCAGCCCCAGAACTCTTCACTTCTTTAATAGGAGTGTTTATATCCCACAGCAATGTCGGCATCGGTACCATAGTGGGATCTGCTGTGTTCAATATCCTGTTTGTTATTGGAATGTGTGCTTTATTTTCTAAAGAGATCTTGAACCTTACTTGGTGGCCACTATTTCGAGATGTGTCCTTTTACATCGTTGACTTGATCTTGCTCATCATCTTTTTTCTGGATAACTTGATCATGTGGTGGGAAAGCTTAACTCTCCTGACAGCATATTTTTGCTATGTGACTTTTATGAAGTTCAATGTTCAAGTAGAAGAATGGGTGAAGAAATTTTTAAACAGGAACAAAGTTGAGAAGGTAGCAACAGCAGATGCCGAAGGAAAGGTTGGTCAATTTTTAGTTACCATATGTGTAGTAGTGTCCTTGTAAGTGCCTGAGCCCTTCTATTTCAGAAGACTCCTAAGATACTACAGTAAATTTCCATGTTTTACTAAAAGGTCTTTTTGTTTAATCAGTCTTTTTGTTTAATAAAACATGGGGTAGCGTTCCAGTAAATCAATAGCTCTTAACTCCAGGATGATCCTAAACACAGAAGCAAGAAAAAATGCCAGCAAAAAGACAAAAACCTTTACTCAGCATTTTGGCGCATTTCTGAGGTCTGAGATATAGCTACTATTTTTTCCCTGAGCTTTTGAATTAAGCAATAACAATATCTGGGGAGGATCTTGTCACAAAATTTGTCTTTTTAAAGGCTTCTAATGCACTTTCATCCTCAAAAAAGCAAATCACTCGGTATGGAAAAGTATTTTTAAACATGGTTTTTATCCACTGGTGCTGATGTACAGTATTAACTTTCTGTTGTAATTAGAGGTAATTAAATGAAAAAAGTCTCTGGAAAACAATGTGCACCAAGGCAAAAGGCAGAGGTCCTCTGGTTAAGCAGGATGGTTCCCCGTTCATGCTATTTGCTACTAAGCAAACTCATTTTTGGCCTAATACCTAGCCACAAGTAGAGAAGGAAATTTATTCTGAGAGGGCTTATTGGGTCTTCAGCAATTACTATCATCTTTTTAAACAGCTCTCTTCTTAAAGCGGGTTATATTTAAGGACTTATGAAGCTGAACCCATAAATACTTAGGTGTGTAGCAGTATGTTAATTGGTTGTTTAATACTGAAATTGAAATGTCCGGTTTTATATGATGGCAGGATTATTTACCAGATAGTAAAGCTTTATCTGATGATTATTCAGAGTATCAGGGAACCGTTCACTCTTTTATTTCTTTTGTTTAACAGTCCTGCTTTGGAAGAATCACAACCCATTGATTTAAGTGTACAGGCGTATAAACAGGAGAATAGTGAGACAAAGCACCTACAACTACAGAGGGGGTCTACCTACCTGTGACTCACAGAAAACTGATAATTCTGCCTGTATGTGTGACTTTGAAGAGAGGGATTGATATTTTAGCAGTATGGGCAGGTGCTTTCAGTTTTAGGATAAGTCACAAAAAAGTCCACCAAAAGTAAACAAAGGAATTATAATCTTTTGTATTTTCTAACCAAATTCAACATCTATACGCCTATTTGTAGTTTTGTATTTTCTTTTCTGTTCCATTCCTTTACCAAAATTAGCATGCTCATCTTTACCTTTCCCAAAATGTGTTATTGGGATTTTAGCAGGAAATGAAAAGAAGGGTCAACACCAGCAAAGTATTTGCCCTAATGTGTGAAGGATCTCTTTAACTGCACTAGTTGGTTACTAAATAAGATAATATTTCACAGTGTGTTGTAAGTACTTTGACAGCTTGTGCTAAATGTACATAATGGTAGGAAGAGACTGTGCTTTATGAGCAACTATTGAATGCACCTTCATCGGTCCGTGAAGTGTGTTTGAAGGAGACATGGATCTATAACTGGTCTTAAACAATAATCAATATGAAAAGCAGCTGCCTTGGATTGTCCAGGCTATAGGGTGGGATAGAGCATCTTTATACCATAGAAAGCGCTCAGTTATTTTTACCTAGAGAGAAGAATGAATCATTTGCGAGTCATATTGAGCGTAACAAATGTTTAAAGTATTGTGGTTGGACTTGATTTTTAAAAGATGCCTTCAAGAGCACTCATTTATTGTTTGATATAGTAATTACTTTTTCTTAGAATTTATTCATATTAAAAGTGCATAGTATTCAGGTGAGGATTAAAAGAATCAAAAAATTGGCTATTTTTCCTAAAAACTCAAGTTTTGCGTTACATGTTTCATGAAGATTTTTTCATTGAAGTTAATTAAAATATTAAAATAATGTATTCATAAATTATAGAAAGAGGTGTAAGAGATGCTCTAATTTTCTTGCAATTTAGCTAATATATATTTTCTTCTTCCTGAGGAAAATGTCTTCTGAAGGTATTGTTCCATGTATTCTACGAACCATGCTGTAAAGACAAATTTTTGAATATTCAGCTAACATTCTGAAATGAATTCTCATTATGAATTATTTTACTACTCATTTGAACAGCAGGATGAACTGATTTTTCTGATAGCAAGGATGCCACAGATCATATTCTTTGGAAGGGAGTTCTACTGAAGTTATACTTTCATTTATTTACCGTTATTAGATAATTGCTTTTGCTACTTTTTAAATTGAAAAAAACCAAACCCAAACCACAAGCAAAACAAAAACCGCACCCTATGGCATGTAATCTCAAGCCTGGTCGAAGTGCCTAGGATTTTTGGCTTGAAAGTTATTGCCTAAAGCCAAGGATTATATGTTTTTGTAGTCTGAGACCTCATGACTTGCTAGTGACTGCAGAGCACATGGGTGCTTATGTCCTAACCAGCAGGGATTATAAATTTTGCGCAAGTGACGGTCTTGGCTTTTGGTGTCAAAAGATGCTTTATTTCTACAGTGCCAGCTGTTAGCCTAGATTGCTTCCAGTCATCAAGACTGTGCTATATCAATGCAAAATAAAATTACATATGATCAGCTTAGTGTATCAGTTGCAGAATTTGTGATTTCAGTTGTTTCTAATTGAAACTTCCCCCCCTCCCCACTGGGGCAGAGAATTGCTAGGCAACTCTCTGGAATTAGCAGGTTAGAGTATCTTGAAAGAACTTTATTTCAGGAATGTGTAGAAAACTCTCTTATTTCCTCTAGCCAATACCCCTTCTGCCTGTCTGTTGTTGATTCTGCTATTGCCAAACTGGCAAGTGTTCTGCTGAAAAAAATGTTCCTGTTGTTTATCTTTCAAGACTTTGTGTTGTAGTCTGAAAGCAGCTCATTAAAGTTGAGACCTAAAAAGTCTAAGTAAGGCATCATAAAGCTGGATAGTTGAAGGGTTAGGGAGCTTATTATCCACCAAGTATCAAAAAGTAAAAACTTCCTCCGATGAAAGACCTTTTGAGATAATAAAATGTATTTTAATGCTAATGTCAGTACTCCTATTGTCAGTCATCTTGAAAGATTGAAGACAGATTTACAGTCTCAAGGACAGTATTTCCCATGAGAAAAAAGGTCTTAGATATGAAATTATTTTTCTGCTTAGCTCTCATTTGCTCTAAATGTATTCATTGTGTTACTAGAATGCATATGTATCTCTAGATGTCTTTCAGATTCCTTTCTCTCTTCTTCATTTTTAAGAATTAAGAATTATTGTACTAGAAAACTTTGAATATTTGAACTTAACTAGTTCTTTATGTTCTTATTTTCTTTAGCATGTCAGTTACTTGCAAAATGTGAATTCAGAGTACTAGGTGAATTTCATTGTGCTGCTTTCCTTCTCAAGCTTCCAACAAATACAGTCTGCATTCTTACAGGGTTGAGAAATTCTTGTAAGCTGAATTTTGGCAACAATTTGATGATGCTGATGAGAAGACACTACAGGCTTTTTTGCATTTAGGATTCATGGGGCACACTGGTAAGGTCCTGTTTGAACTGTGGATAATCTCGTGCCCCATCTCACCCTTGAAGAAGCCTGATGGCCGCCTGGTACTGATCAAATCCAGAGATCACTGTGACAAGGAGGTAAATAAAAGAGGAAAGATAAATAAACAGGACAGCATGAAAAGACAGAATAAACCAGATGGCTAAATTCTAGAATGTAGAGTAGCATATGGCAGACCAAGATGGGTCCCTGGCAGGTGATGCAGAGCCCTGTGGGCTGCCCTGAATGGGCCCTACAGTAGGTAGTGTGATCCCACCACCAGATACCTCCAAAAGTCTAACTATTCTGTGATGTGATTTTTAAGTTTTATCTAGTTATCTTGCAAAGAACAGATGACTTTTTTTTTAGTGCTGGGAAGGAAGCTTTCATGTTAAGTCTACATCTTCCTCATTTCAGTGAACAGAAGGTTAAAATTGAGTATAATGGATAGAAACAGGAAAATAAAAAATGATGTACAAAGTTCTAAAAAATAAGACTTTGTTAAACTCCTACTAAGATATCAGTCTTTGGCGTCTGTACTACTGAAGGCATGTTGAATGTTTTAGATGGTGGTAAAATGTTTTAAATTATATTTCAGTTTTTAAGTATTTTTTTTTCATTTATGTAACGTGGAGATCATTGCAGAAATACTTCAATCTGATTGCTCAGTAAATAACCCAAAACAGTTCTGTTTGGCAACTAGGAGAACAGAATGTAGGTGGCACAAGGGATATTGTACAATGACATCTGTTTCACTGATGGTACCATTTTAGATAAATACCTTATGGTATATGCAAGACACTTACAGATTTGCTACATTTGAAGAGAATTGTATTTGGAAAATGAGCTATTTTTTACCAACAAGATGTAATTTAACATTATTTTATTGCCAATTTTGTTGTCTTAAGAAACAAAATAGCCTGTGTGTGGTATTTTAAGAGCTATACTGATCTCAAATGTTGCCACATTGTATTAAGGGCATTGTTTGCATTCTAAAGGAAAGACTGCTAAGAGTATTTTTAGATTCTTGTTTATTTGGTGGCTGTATTTATAATGAACATGCATGAACATATACTTTGTTATAATGTATGATCTAATATACTTTTGTTTAAGGAAAAATACAAATTACCTGCATGCATACAGGAAAAACTGGAGTCTGCAGAAGGTTCGTAGCTGGTTTGAACTCCTGAGCAGTTCTGTTTCAGGGCTTCTTGATATGTTGTGTTTTATTTGCCTTTATCATCTCAAAAACTTTGAAATTTCTTGTCTGTTAACTTACTGTTACGCCAGTAGCAGTAACTGTTAGTTAATTTGACTTGAGTATTTAGCATTGTTGGTTCAGTTAGGTTCAACATTAAGGCTATTAATGACTACCCAGAGGCTGATACTTTATTATATATGCAACTATTAGTACAGTGAAATGAATACTATTTTCAGTTTATTTTAGCACCTCTCAATAATTTAACATC